ACGCGCATGCGCCGAGGGAGAAAGCGCGGCTTCAAAACCAGTAGAGGGAGAGAAAGGCATGGAATGCATGGGGGAAGAAAAGGAAGGTAGGGTGACTGGCGCGCATGCGCGCGTCGCAGATGTCATTTCTGTACCTTCGGCGGAAAAGGATGCTTCAGAAGCAGCAGAGTGGCGCAGCGGAAGCGTGCTGGGCCCATAACCCAGAGGTCGATGGATCGAAACCATCCTCTGCTAGGCTGAATATTTTTTTTCAAAAAATCCTATGTCAAGATGGACTAAAAATTTGGATAATTTTAGCAACACCTTGAAACGTTTCCTTAAATATCAAAACAATATATTGTACTCTGGTTTGCCTGAAGGAAGCACGGGTTTGGGAAATTAAAATCAGTAATATATTTTATTCTAAGAAGTTAAATGTATTTTCCAAAGCTTAATCTTGTTTTCTGGGCTCCTGTTGGAATTTATAGCTGAGTTATCTCCCCATTTATTTTTTTAATTGTGCTTAAATTATAGAAAGAAAGTTCTCCCTAGTTTTCCTTTTTTTAAAAAAATATGTACAAAAGCTTGCACATTATCTGTTGATCTTAAGAAACCAATTGCCTGCAAATTTTTGTTTGATTCCTGTTTTTTTGCAGAAGCAAGAGTTACAATTTTACAATTGGTGGGTGAAAACACTTTAAAAACAAACTTGGTTTGAGCCAAAGAGCCTTTAAAATAGGCGTTTCATTTGATGCTAGAAAATGTATTTACAATATATTTATTGCATATTGATTTATAGAATGCTTATCGAATTGGTGAAATCTTTATGAATTTACCGGAATGTTTATTTAACAGAGGGGGAAAAACCATTTATAACCAAAGCAGGCTTCTTAAACCCAAAGGAGTTTGCAAATCAAGGGAGAAAAGTGTACTGTATATACATTTCCTATGGAGGTTTTCCAAAAGCTAAGGGTGAAATACTTGGTCTGACCTTTAGATGGCGCTCTTGGACTTTGAAGAGGATTCCACCGCTTAGCTAGCAGGACCTTGCTAGATGCCCTAAATTAAGGGCAGGGGGTAAGTCTTACTTTGGGGAGACCCATAGCACGCCCCAAAGAACTATGATATGGAGCGACTGGTTCAAAATTGGGAAAGGAGTATGACAAGGCTGTATATTGTCTCCCTATTTAACTTATATGCAGAATACATCATGCGAAAGGCAGGACTGGATGAATCCCAAGCCAGAATTGCCGAAAGAAATATCAACAACCTCAGATATGCAGATGGTACCATTCTGATGGCAGAAAGTGAGGAGCGTGAAAGTCTTAATGAGGGTGAAAGAGGAAAGCACAAAAAAAAAGGTGTGAAGCTCAACATCAAAAAAAAAAACAAAAACTAAGATCATGGCCACTGGTCCCATCACCTCCTGGCAAATAGAAGGGGAAGAGATGGAAGCAATGACAGATTTTACTTTCTTGGGCTCCATGATCACTGCAGACGGTGACAGCAGCCACGAAATTAAAAGACACCTGCTTCTTGGGAGGAAAGCCATGACAAACCTAGACAGCATCTTAAAAAGCAGAGACATCGCCTTGCCGACAAAGGTCCGCGTAGTCAAAGCTGTAGTGTTTCCTGTAGTGGTGTATGGAGCTGGACCATAAAGAAGGCTGACCGCTGAAGAATTGATGCTGGTGGTGCTAGAGGAGGCTCTTGAGAGTCCCCTGGACTGCAAGGAGAACAAACCGATCCGTTCTGAAGGAAATCAACCCTGAGTGCTCCCTGGAAGGACAGATCCTGAAGCTGAGGCTCCGATACTGGGAAAGAAGGGGGTTCACGGATCCCACCTCTCGCTTGCCTGTGTGGCATTCCTGCTCGCCCGCGGCGACCAAGGAAGGAATTATTCGAGGCCGGGTGAACTATAAATGGGTCACAAGGAAGACTAGATATGCCTTATCTAGAAGACAGAGTGATCTTCAAGCAGGACAAAAAAACAAGAGTTTATCCCTTTTGGGCAGGCAGGGGTGGTATCGTTCTGGGCAACAAATACAGCGCCTTGCACGGTGGACTCCGTGTGAAAAATCAAACAACGCCTCATCCTGGTGACGCTGTTTCCTGGAATCTGGACCTTTCTTCCTCTTCCCCCCCCCCTTTGCCATAAATCTCCTTTTCAGACATTTCAGCTTTAACCCCTTTATCTTCCTCTCCGAGGGCAGCTTTTCCCTCTGACCTGTGTCCACTCAGAGGCATCAGACTACGTTTCCCATCATCCCCCAGTCAGGTGAAGGGGACGCTGGGAACTCTACTTGGATACATCTGGACGGGGTCCATTGGGAAAAAGACTGTCCTATTATATATACAGTATATTTAACTCCTTTTAATGGTATTCACACCTATTTCTCTTAGTGCTGTTCTCCCTCTCTCCTATATTTCCCTTCCATCAAAACAAAAATATTATTAATATTGTAAGCTGTTTGCCTGTACATCCTATTTTTGCTCGGATCACCTCGAGGTGGGGTTAGGGGGGCTTCTTTCCTCCACATGGCATCTCACGCTAACCCTGTGAGGGAGGATCTCACTCAGGAGCAGATACTGGCCTAGGGTTACCTGGGAGTCTCCCACTTCTCACATTGAGGACTAGAAACTTGAGCCTTCATCACAACGACTGCAGCCTTGATCTTGCAGCCGAACAGGCTAATGCTAACAGCCAAGCGACAACACTTTTTAAAATTGTTTAGATATTTCGGTCTGTTTTCCTCTCATTCCTTCATTCGCTGGTATTTTATGCACCCCTTTTGGCTTGTATTTACCTCGAGAGTGTCGGGGTTAGAAGGCAAAACCACCCAGATTTAAAAACATTACATTCAACTCTACCATTTGCCAAGCGTCCCTGTGCACGGATCCAGCTGGGTTAGCTCTTGGCCTACCTCATAGGGTTGTCGTGCAGGGTTAAAAATATCCGGGGATAAACCCTTTCTTCACCGTTTGAAGAAAAGCTGTGTCTGACTCGGTCTGAAAGAAAACAGAAGCAAAAATGGAATTTTAAATCTTGGATTTTTCAAAAAGCAGTTAGACTAATAATTTTTTTTAAAAAAGTACAGCACCTAGCACAGCGCCGGAGATTTTTCGATAAGTCGGTCGTGCCCTTCAGAGCTGTATGATTTGCAATTCAACCCTTGGTTGGAAAACGTCTCAAATGTTGGTGTGAGTTGCGATTAAATCCTTAGTTTAAAAATTTGTTGCCTGCTTTGCGATTCAATCCTTCTTTTTAACATTTGCAACACTTCGGTGTGGTTTGCAATTCGCCCTTTTGGTTTAAACAAATTCGAAAACGTCTGTGTGGTTTGCCATTCGACCCTTGGTGTCAAAAAAAATCCTAAAACGTCTGTGTGATTTGCAATGACATCTTTGGTTTTAGAATTTCTAAAACTGATTTGCAGTCAAACCCTGGGTTTGAAAAAAAAAATGTCTTAACTGTACCCATAGCATTCTTCTCTCCGTCTGTCCTGGGTTTGCCAGCCTGAAGCTGGTTTGGGGAGGGGGGGATCTTTTGGGGTGGGTGGGAAGAGATCTGGCGCCTCCTTGTTTTTGCCCCGGTTGGAAAGAAAAAGGAATCCTGGCGAGGAAGGAGTTAAGCTGCCCTGTGTGTTGGTTTGATAGGAGCCCTTTTCTCATTGAATGAGGAGGAAAAGCAACTCCAAGCTAGTGGCAGATAAACCTTCGCCTCTTGCTTCTTGATTCACTCCCCGTCCTCCTCCTGCCTGGGCGGCTCACGGGAGGGAGGAAGGAAGGAGAAAAAAACCCCGGCCGTGGTTGGAGAAGTCTCGGGTGGGAATCCAGGAAGGTGGTCCAGAGTCAAGCAAACTCTCCGGAGTCGGTGGAAGCCCAAGAGGAGAGACAGGGAGGGTTAGATCTTGGGGGGACGTGGGGCGAGCATTACGGGCAACGGGGTGGGAGAGGCTTTGGAGAGGCGGCAAAGCAGAATCGGGTGGGCTGTCAGGGAGAAGTGCCAGGGGATCAGCTGGGCTTTCTTAAGAGGAGAGGGACAGAAGGGTGGTGGTGGTCCAGGTTGCCCCCTCCTTGGGAGGTAAAGCAGGGAGAAGACTTCAGGAGGGTGCCAGGGGATCAGCTGGGCTTTCTTAAGAGGAGAGGGACAGAAGGGTGGTGGTGGTCCAGGTTGCCCCCTCCTTGGGAGGGGTGTCTGATTTTAGGGGCCAAAGGTGTATCCGAACACCTTGATCCCTCTGGTTTCTGGGGATGCTTCACAGCCTCAGGGGTGGCTCAGGGCTGGGGTGGTTTTTGGGGGGCCTCAGCATCCCAGCCCGGTGGTGACCCCCCTCTCTAAGAAGATCTGAGGTCCGGAGAAGTCAGAGGTGTCGGCTGGAGCGTCTCTAAGGGGGGATGAGGGCTAGGGGCTGTCAAGGACCGAGGGAGGTCGTGGCTCCCGGAGGGCCACGGCTCGGCCACGTCCGTGGCCCCGTCGCCTGGTGGTTCCTGGTGGCCCTCTTGCCGCTGGGCAGGGCGGCCGGGGCCAACTTAACCATCGCGGTGGTGCTGCCGGAGCGCAACACTACGTATCCGTGGGCTTGGCCCCGGGTGGGCCCCGCCGTGGCCCTGGCCATCCGGAAGATCAACGCCCAGCCGGACCTGCTGGCCGGCTACACCGTGCGGTGGGTCTTCGGCAGCAGCGAGGACGACCACGGGATCTGCTCCGACGCCCGGGCCCCGCTGTCGGCTGTGGACTTGAAGATGGCTTACGAGCCGGACGCCTTCCTGGGGCCCGGGTGCGTCTACACCTCGGCCCCCGTGGCCCGCTTCACCCGCCACTGGGAGATCCCGCTGGTGACCGCCGCGGCCGAGGCCAGCGGCTTCGGCAACAAGGGGGACGAATATTCGCTGACCACCCGAACTGGGCCCAGCCACGGGAAACTGGGCGAATTCGGGATCTCCCTCAGCCGACACTTCAACTGGATGCATCGCGCCATGTTGCTCTTTTGGGACAACAAGATGGATGAACGTCCGTGTTACTTCGCCATGGAGGGGCTGTACCAGAAACTGCCGTCTCTGAATGTCACTGTGGAGGACATCCCGTTCTGGGAGACGAATTACACGGCCCTGATCCAGGACATCAAGCGCAAGGCGCGGAGTAAGTCCAGAGTCTACCTCTTAACTCCGTTTTCCCCTTTCTCGGGTTTACTTTTTTTAAATTTCCCTTCCAAAAGCAGGAGGTGCTTCATCAAAAATTCGTGCCCCTTCGCCACTCCTCAGAGGGGTGGAGAACGGAGTGCGCTCAGCGCATGCCCAGAGACTCCCTCTTCGGGAGCCTGGTGGCCTTTTCAGGGATGTCACAAGGATGCTGACCCTTGACACAGGCTTGGCGTACCCCGTTCTCAATCTGAATTTGAACCCGGAACATTCTCCCAGATGCTGGGCATGAGAGAGGCCCTGACTAAGTCAAAAGTGTCTCTGAGCCTGCAAAGAGAGCCTTTGCTTTGTTTTTTTTTCCTAGTCACTTCGCAATGGGGGAAATATTAGGTTTTTGCGTGTCGAGCCAGAGGTTGGGAGTTCGAATCCCCCCAGTGCCTCCTTGAAAGGGGCTGGACTTGATGATCTAGAGGGTCCCTTCCAGCTCTGTGGTTCTAAGATTATGACGATTCAGAAACACCAGGCACAGGCAATCCAAATTATAAAAACATTGACTGGTATTGTATAACATTCTGTACGCTGTTCCCAATACTGCATTTTTGGTAGCTCTGATTCTGTTATATCTGAGATCACTGAGCCTCCTTTGACAGGGGCCGGACTCGATGATCCACGGAGTCCCTTCCAGCCCGACAGTTCTAAGATGATGATGATGATAAATAAGACTCGATGATTTGCAGAGTCCCTTCCAGCTCAACAGTTCTAAGATGATGATGATGATAAATAATAATATTTTTCAAGATGTGGGGAGTGGGTGACCCTTTCTGGTGGTCTCAAATCCCGTCAGATTCTGGTTTAGCAAACTATTTTATTTCTATTTCCCTGTTCCTCTTTTTTTTTTGTCTTTCCAACACTCGGATAAAACCATTCCTCCTTGGCTGTGCTTTCATTCCAGCGACGGTTTATTAATTAATTCATTTTATTTATAGTGTATTATATCTTTTTCCCTGGGTCTCTGCTCCAATTCCCAGCTTCTGTGGCTCGCCTTGAATTTTACCCTAACCCCCTTCCTTAATTCCCCGTCTTCCACACCCCTACGGGGGGCTATTTCCCCCTGTGCCATCCCAGAGGGGAAAAAAAATCTTCGCTCAGTCGGCCCCTTGTGTCATCCGAAGGCTGCTCTCCGTCCTTCGGGTCCCTTTTAATCCACCTTTTGCATGGATATTCTTGAATTTCCTCTTCCTCTTTTCGCCAAGCCTGGATCGAGTTGTACACGTTCCACTGGGTCACAAATGCATTTAAAAAGCCAAACCCATTAAAGGTGGGAATAAAATTGTGGGCATTTCATGTAGCCGAAAACTCACATAGATTTTCAACCCTGCTGCGCTTGCTCGAAGTGATCCCCCCCTTGCTTGCTTTTTGTTGGCCTCAATTATTTACAGAATTGTTTGGGAGGATTTGACCCTTTGCTCCCACAAGATGGGACTTAACCCAGGTGGGCCCTCCGGCTAGGGAACCGTAAAAGATCCATCCATGGGGCTTGAACCCACAATCCGAGGGAGGCTGTGGGTGTCTTCTCTCCGCCGATCTCCCGGCGAGGAACCTGGGTGGGTTTTGTTTGCGGTTGGCTTGTTGGGCTCAGAAGTCCCGGGTTCAGATCCCGTGCCCGAGGTATTTCCAATTTCTGCAGCCTGATCTGCACACCAAGGCTGTTGTTTGAAGGGTAGAGCCCGGGCGCCGGACAGCGACCTGGGCAGGTTTGAGCTGGCTGCAGGAAAAACAAGGCATGAAAGAGAACAAACAGAGAAACAAGCAAGAGAGTCTATTCTGCTGTTTGTGTCCTCCCCGTGTGATCTGGGCCACACTTCACGGCTCCCCAAGTTGTTTTTTTTTTTCCTGCGAGGATCCCTAGCTTTGCCTTGTATGCAATCAAATGGAAGGAAAAAGTGTGCCTCTGGACATGTTTAGAGAGACTTTCGACCCCGTCCTTCACTCAAGTGAAAAAAGAAACGTGTTGCTTTTAGAAAGTATTTAGAATTATTTTAGAAATCGGTGAGGTTTTGCAGCCAGCAGGACTGACCTTCAGCCTGGACCCCGGATAAATTCTGTATTTTTCTACCTCTCCAGCGCCCCATCTGAAGAACACTCCTGTGGGACTGGAAAACTGGCTTGTTGTTAATATTTCAGTGGGCCAGGGAAGAGGTGACTCGCCCGGGTGTGCGCGAGTTTACTGGTTTGGAAGCAGCTCTGTGACAAGGCTCAGAAAAGAGGTAACCTCGTTGCAAGACTTCTGTGAGATCTGTAAGTGTGCCAGATTTCACGCCTGCTTCTAGGGAGACACGGATGTTCGTAGCCTCTCAGTGAGAGTGGAGACCACATCCTCGTTGTATTTCGAAGTGTGTGATTATTTGGGTAAGACCTCAGTGCTCTGGCGGGCACGCCCGGGTCTGGAAAATCATCGGGTCCGGTGGAAGCACAACCGTGGCCAGTTCAGATTGATGGCCGATCGAGGGACAGGGTGGAATCGGCGTCCCTGAGGCCATTTTCAGCTTGAGCCCCCTCCGTGGGTGCGTACAAGCCATGGCCTCCCTGTCGGCCTGTTTAGCTTGAATTTAGAGCCAGGATTTTAAAGGGGGGGAGTTTGGCCCTCGAGGTGCAGCTTGACTACAACTCCCATCTTCCCCCGCCAGGGGGAAAGAAAGGACGATGGGTGCTGTGGTTCTCCCATGCCTATGAGGCTACACATTTCTTGACTCTGGGAAAGAAGGCAAGAGGGGCCCAAACTCCCGAAATAATTCTGCGGAATAGAAACCCCAGCTCAAATCCCACTTGGTGGAGGGTCGGCCCTCTGCACATGCTCAGGCGACTGCTGCTTTTTTTCATGCTCATTATCTGCCAGTTTAGGGCTGAGTGCGTGAGGCAAGTGGCCGGCCTTCGCTTAAACTCTGGCGTGGATGGGGTGGATGCTGGCGTCCTCGAAGGTTGGCGCCCTTCCCGGGGCAGAGACCTCTCCCCCTTTCTGCTCCTCGTCCGGCGGAGTTTTAATAGCACCAAGTCCCGACCCTGGATGGGTGTTACCCGTGGCCGGCTTGATAGCGGCCGAAGGAAGGATGGGGACGTCTCCGCTGTTGAACGGGTGTGGATTTTGGAACCGGTTCGGGGTTGGCCGGGTTACGATAACCCTTTTTTTAAAAAAAATTCTTTGCTCCTTGGGGGGGGGAGGTGGAGGGAAGCCTTTTAGCAAAAGGCCAGAAGCGGCGAGTGGACACAGAGAGGTTTGAATTGTTTTGCTAAGCTGGGTTCAGCCCCACGGCCGAAGGTTCCTGACCTCTCTGCCTTGAGGTTTGTCGAAATCGGATCTCATAGCCCGGGAGGAGGAGGTGATGGCTCTGGGGACGATGGGAGTTGTAACCCTGCCCGTTGGGAAAAGGGCCGGGTTGGTGATGACCCAAACCGGGAGCACCGGTGATGGTTAAAGCTCAGAAGACGTGCGTTCGAATCCCTGAGGGGCTGTAGAAGTCACTGGGTGGCCATGAATTGGCCCGTTTCTTTCCCCATGTCCTCCCTCGCAGGGGTGTGCTGAGGGTAAAACCAGGGAAGAGGAAGAGGCCTCAGGTTGTGGAGCCAAAGGTTGGGGGTTCGGTTCCCGGCGGTGCCTCCTTGACGGGCTGGACTGGATGATCTTTAGGGGTCCCTTCCAGCTCCCAGATTCTTATTGTTATAATTAAAAGTGCTAAATGGCAATAAAAGAAAATAAAATCTATAAGAAACGGAGGTGGTCTTGGCGTTCTCGGCTGCTTTTGCACCCCTGCCTGCGAATCTCTTGGGTTTTTCGCCTCTGGCTGTTCCCATGGGGAGCTGGGTTCAGGATTTCTCCCTTCACGGCTGGCTTGCCCACCCACCTCCCGTATCTCTCCCCCCGCTGGGATTGTTTTTCCAGGTGATGTTTAGGGATTTTTTTGGATGTCGTCGGCGGCGGCCGCTGCTATTTCTGGGGCTGCTCCGTGTTTGGTTAGGAATGTGCCCCAGAAATTTTTCTCACACGTCGCAGCCGGAGCAACAAAAACGCCCCCCTTTTTTCGTTATTTTTCTTGGGCCGGCAGCATCTCGACAAGCCAAATTTCAAAGTTGTTTTAAAAGAAGCCCAAGTGGACAAAAGGGGCAGCCTTTGGAAACGTGAAGAAAAGGCCGTAGGC